GCCATGCTGAGGCCGAGTCCCACATACAGCAACTAGAAGGATGTGCAGCTACGACATACAACTATCCACTGGGGCTTCGGGGGGAACAAATAAAATCTTTAAAAAAAAAAAAAAAAAAAAATACTCCAGCAATAAAACCCTGAATAAATAAAAACAAATCAATAAACAAGCCAATAATAAACAACTAATGGGGTAGACGAAACAAGATTGGAAAAATGGAGATAATTGTTGAAGCTGGGAACAGCATGGTGGTTCATAATACTAGTTTCTATTTTTGTGTATGTTTGAAATTTCCCATAATAAAAAGTTAAAAAAAAAAGCATATCCCTAAAAAATCGCCTAAATCTATAATGTGAAACTTAACAAGTAAATAAATAATCGTGGGGCTTAGAAAACAACTTAGGTCTTACTTGATCTAACATACACATTTCTTTTGTTATCATCAGAACTACCATCAACTTTACTGGAGCTTCATTTAGATTATAATAAAATTTCAACTGTGGAACTTGAGGATTTTAAACGATATAAAGATCTGCAAAGGTAAAACTCTCCAAAACCCTAACTTAGAAGTAGCAGTCCCTCTGAGAAGACATCAGTGAAACTTCTTGGAGAATGTGTGCAGGGACCTAGCCAAGATGATCATGGCAGCTAGTGGAGAGGGTGAAGGGAAAACTACTATGATTCCGTCTCTAGAATGGGAGAGAGACACCACATGGAATGAGGAAAAAGATTCTTTTCAAATACCCCTTCGTTGACGATAGGTTAGATAAAGAATTTTCTGACAGTGGAGGGGAGGGCTGTTACATACTGAAATAGGTTATTAAATAAATCCTTGAAATACCTTTCTCTGAACATGTATACAAATAGGACAGGTTTATATTTCTAACTTGGCTGAGGTGTTTTCAGCTAACTGTATCACACCATTTGCTTAAGAGATGATGCATTTTCTATCATTTTTAGGCTGGGCCTAGGAAACAACAGAATCACAGATATCGAAAATGGAAGTCTTGCTAACATACCACGCATAAGGGAAATACACTTGGAAAACAATAAACTAAAAAAAATCCCTTCAGGACTACAGGAGTTGAAATACCTCCAGGTAAAACATTCTACTTGTATTTTGTAGATATTAGCACTTTTCTTTGTTTTTATGAAACATAACTAGTACCTGAAGCAAAGATCACGCAGTAGCAAGGGTAATTCACAAATAACCACCCTCCAGGTTGCCGAAGTTTTTTATGCAGCAGGGGAGCACGAGAACAGTTTCTACACAGACACCAGCTAAAATGCTCAGGTACTCATTTCCATCCTCTGCTTCTCCTACTGAAACTACTAAGGCCATTGCGGCAAAGGTACTGACCCAACTAATTTTATGTTTCTGGGGTGGCAGTGGATATGTAAAGGAAGGACTGGTCAGGAGGAAACCAAGGAGGATCACACATCCTCATTCTGGAAACATTTTACACAGGCAGAGCGTGTGGACAAGGCCCCAGATATTTTCACTATCAACGTGGTGCTAGATATAAGTGGGTATGCTTTTTAAAAAATTCAGGCCAGAATATATAATCAAAAGTCAGTATTTGGAGCATCATGGGTCCACATTTCTTGTTCTTCTTTATTAAGTACTTTTTCCTTCTAATCTGGCAACTCTTCACCAGCTGGGAGGGGCCACAGAATCCTTGGGAACCTGATAAAGCTTTAGACCCTCCCAAGAACAAAAAGGAAGACAGTATTCTGCATATAATTTCAGAGGGTTCTCATCTATGGCCCTCAAATTAAGACTCTCTACTTAATCCCGTTTCACCACAGTCCATTATTCTCATGCGCTTTCGTTGATATACAACATCCTCATCTTCCAAGAAGCAAAAACATATTGAGAACAAAACTGGGCCTTGAGCCACTTGCTGCTTGTAGATTTCTTTCCAGTGTCTCCTTAAACAAGTTTTGTTCACTGCACTCCTTTGAGACAGAAGCCATCAAAATGGAGGTGCTATAGGCAGGTGTTCATCTCCAGGTATCAACTTTCCTTTGACTTTTCAAATGCGCATTTAAATGTGTATTTAACCTGTGAGCACAGCTGATCTTCCCTCTCTCAGCCTGTCTCACCTTTGTTTACCTTACTCCACAGCTCCGATCTCAGCTTCTGGGCACTCTTAAACCTACTCATACTCTTGCTAGCATTTGTTTTAATGAATCGGATTATAACACAAACAGAGAACAACACAAGTCATAAGGGTACAATTCAGCCAATGTCCACAAAGCAAACACACCCGGGTCCAGTACTGTTTCCCATCCCTAATAAGGTCAGTGTCGCGGTAGGCTACATCTTACACTGACAGTGAGCTGCCCCGAAATGCACAGGAACTACATAAAGCACTTGTCACAAAATCCCCAAGACTATTAGAGGGCAAAGGGGGCTCCAGCACCAAACTTGAGGCTTTAGCAATGCCTGGAGTTCTCACGACTGGCTCAGATCAACCTCACCAAGACATCAATGCAGGATCTAGAGGTAACAACAGCCAGAACTGATATCTTAGCTTTGCCAGCAAAAGGCTCCTACTATACTTCTGTGCTGAGGAAGATTCGCCCTAAGCTAACATCTGTTGCCATTCTTTCTCTTTTGCTTGAGGAAGATTCGCCCTGAGCTAACATCTGTGCCAATCTTCCTCTGTTTTGTATGTGGGTTGCTGCCACAGCATGGCCGCTGATGAGTGGTATAGGTAGGCCCCGAACAGAACCCGGGCTGCGACAAACTTAACCACTAAGCCACAGGGCCAGCCCTGGCTCCTACGTTTTTATATGCCAAAATGCTGTCAGTTAAGTAGATTGTTTTTACTTTCCAGTAATCTCAGTTGCCAAAGAAGACCAAAGAAGGAATTTAAAGGGCTGCTAAAGGGAATGAAGGGAAGCTTTTAGATTGTCCATTCTTTCTGAGTAATAATTTAATTTAGAAAGACATATACACAGCCTATAAAATTGTATTTTGTCCATTGGTACAAATAAAGATTCAACTATTGATGCTGTATTATAGACACGTATTTAAGATGTCAATAGACATATGTCTCTATAAAACAACTTACAAAAAAAGCAGCTCCCAACTTCCCTCCCTTGACCACAGAAAATGCGAACAATTCTTCACAGTCATATTGCAAAAGCCTAATTCTTGGAGCCTTAAGTTTCATTCTTGTGCTCATTTCTAATACCTTTAAAACACATTATTGTAAATATGGCCCTGAAGTACTCATATACACACAGGCCCCTACATATGTATATATGTACATATATATATACACATATATGTAGAGCAGGAGAGTGGCACGTGCTGACCAGGCAGCGTGTTCTGGGCCTGGACATGAGTTCTAGGCCACACTTCATACAGAGAACACTTCTGTGTATTAACCCATGAGCCTGCCTCATTACAAGTATTTAACAAGCACAAACAAATACATATATTTTAAGTGAAATACATGTAAATCAGTGTAAAATAAATAAAACCCATGAGCAAGTGCTGACTATAAACAGAACACTTTCTTTTTACATTTACTGTATATTTTTAATCCATTCTTTTTTCCTACTACAACAGATAATCTTCCTTCATTCTAATTCTATTACAAAAGTGGGAGTGAATGACTTCTGCCCAACGGTGCCAAAGATGAAGAAATCTTTATACAGTGCAATCAGTCTGTTCAACAACCCAGTGAAGTACTGGGAAGTACAACCTGCAACATTTCGCTGTGTCTTGAGCAGAATGAGTGTTCAGCTTGGGAACTTCAGAAAGTAATAGTTAGTAATTAATAATACCCATTTAATATAAAATTAAAAAATTGTTACATTTGGAATACTTGAACTCTACTAATAATGGTGGTATTATGCACATAAGCAAAACGCTGTTCCCACATGTTAAGTCCATGACTTACTTTATGACAAAAAATTTCAACAGAATTTTGCAAAACTATTGATACAGCAGAAGTAAGAGAAACAAGCATCTACTGCAGTTTCCTTTTGCTTACAAATGATTTTGCATAAATCTCATGCTTGAACATTCTTTCTCAGTAACAAAAAGATATCCAGTATTTAACACTTTGTTATCAAGTGCATTTTATAAAGAACTGTACTGTAAATGGAATGCTTGACTTAGCAAAATCTGTGCTCTTTCATTTGCTGTTAGAAAAACAAAATTGACAAAGACAGTTACATGAAGAGTACATTATACTATTCTTATTCTTTAATAACTCGGGTAGTACTGTGATATTTCTAATAACGTTGAAATATGTTTGATATAATCTTATTCAAATTCTCATGTCTTAGATCCTTACTCTCTTTATGTTTAAAACTAACTCCTTATAATAGAGCCTTCAGCAAGTGTTTATTACCAACTCGACAGATGCTATTCATAACAGCTGGTTTTTGAGCTACAGTACATGCTTTTCTTTTTCAATTATTATTACCTGATTATAAAACCTCTATAAAAATGTGTAGTGAGTGTTTATATAAAATCTATAACTCACATTTTTTATGATCACAGTTAGTATAAGCTTTTAACAGTATGTCAATTGTTAGGTTACGTAACATTGTCACCTCAACGCTAAGGAATATTTTTGAGATGTCTCTTTGTAAGACCTTGGTTGCAAAAGCCTGGAGAGTATTAATTCTACACCAAATTGTCTCCTCAAATATGCACAGGCTGGATAACTCCGAAAAATACACCTGGTATAACTGAATATGCAGAGCATTAAATAAAACACACAGAAACTAAAAGTTCTGTTAGTTATTTTTTATTGACATTCAACATAAGTAAGACGAAAATAAGGAAAACATTAAAATATTGGTTTGAAATAAAATACTTGTGCTTTGGTTTAATTTTTCTTCTCCCACCCAGGAACATAAACTATTTTTATGAAAACTCTAATCTATATATAACATTTTTAGTGCAGTAATAATGCTTATTCTTAATAACAATACGGAAATACTCCAAATTAAGCCTGTGTTATAAAAGATAATCACCTTTATGTGAAACTACCTAAAAAACTAGATTTTAAAAATAATTTGGGGGAGAGTAGAAAATATTACAGATATATAAGGAGGGGTGGAGGGTTTGGACATCCGGGTCAAGAATGGGTAAATTACTCTTCTTAGCAAAGTTCCCCAACTCTGGAAGTGCTGACACTCTGGGCTGGATCATTCCCTGCTCTGTGAGGGGTGGGTGTGGGGGCTGTCCTGTAATTTGCAGAATGTCTGGCAGCTCCCTAGTCTCTACCCACCAGACACCAGTATCACCTGTGTGCAGCAATGAACACCCCACAGTACAGCAATCAACAATTTCTCCGGACACTGCCAACACGGCCAATGTCGGTGTGGGGGATTGGACTGGGCAGGAGGGAGCAAATTGCAGATGTCTGAGAACAATTGTTTTATAGGAAAGTTACTTATTTTCTAAATTCTGACACAAGTTTGGAAACCTGGAAGAAAATGCTATTTTTGTTTGGTAAAACTGTAGGGGCAAGATCAAAGTGGGATTAAAATAATAAAGGTTAACACCAGTACTGATATAACAGAATGAGCCCAGGGGTGCAGTGCTTTGAGTTAGAAGAACGTAACCAGAAATCCAGTTTCATTTACGGTCTTGGGCAAATCACCACCACTTTGAATCTGTCTCATCTTTTTTTCTTTTGTGAGGAGGATTGGCCCTGAGCTAACATCTGATGCCAATCCTCCTCTTTTTGCTGAGGAAGATTGGCCCTGGGCTAACATCCGTGCCCATCTTCTTTTAATTTATATGGGACGCTGCCACAGCATGGCTTGACAAGCAGTGCATCGGTGCGTGCCCGGGGTTCCGAGCCTGTGAACCCTGGGCTGCCGAAGTGGAGCACACCCACTTAACCGCTACGCCACCGGGCTGGCCCTGTCTCCTCATCTTTTATAAAGGGTAGGGGTGACAATACTGATCAATTAGGTTGCTATGAGGATTGAATAATAAAAATGTATGTGAAAATGCTTTGTAAACCATAAAGATTGATAAAACACGAGTAACTACTATACTGGACAATTACTGACTGACAAGAAAAATTAATGATTATGAAGTCCTTAAAATAAAAGAATACATTACAATGATAATCATTCTAAAATTAAAATATTCTAAAGTTCCAAAGTTATAATAAATAAAATACATTTTTCTACAATATATCATAAAAATAAAATTGTGCTACGATGGCACTTATAAGAACATAAGTAAAAGTCAAATGTTTGCTGAAATTTTAAGAATATAGTTCTTGAAAGTAATAATTAAGTTTGTAAGATTAATGCTAAGATTAGAATCATGTAAACAGATTAGTCTCTGATCTGAGCAGTGGAGCTTCAAGTAGCTAAGTTAATCTTTTTCTAAAAAGTGAAGATAGAGCAAAAATTTTAAAACACTGGAAATGATTCCTAAAACCACTGCAATTAATTTCCTGTAGTTAATGTTTGTGTTTTTCATCCCATAGCTGTTAGCCATTTTTGGTTATAAGTTTGCAAAAAACAAATCACTACTAAAAATCATTAACAACCAAAACTGCATTAAAGTTTTTTGCCACAAACCCATTTTACGGTAAATACGAAATATTACCCACTTGAAATCCATCAAAGATTGGAAACTACAACTTATTCGGTTTACTAAGGACTTCAAGGTAGAAAAAAAATCTCAAAGACCATGTATCTGTATTTCCTCCAAAATACTACAATAAAAAATGATCACTGAATTCATGAAACAAATATAATACTTCTAGAAAATCATTTGAAATCACTAAAACTTTTTTTTACAAAAATCCATTTTGTTCCTCAAACTTTTGCATTACTTCTCTTTCCGTCATAATTTCATCTTTTTTGGAAAGAATTATCTCACCTCAGTCTTAATTACCTCTACTCACGTGGCCCTTATCCTATTGCAATTGACTTAACAATTCTCCTGAGTCTGTTTTCCCAAAATCATAGTGTATGAATGATATTAAATAACAGCTTAAAGAACATTTCCAGACATTCTTCCAAATGCCTCACTTGCATTTCCTTATTTAATCCTCACAAAAACCTAGAAGGCAGGTACTTATACCTTATACTTGACTTATATCTGTATTTTAGGTGTGAGAATTGGGGAACAAAGTTTCAGTAACTTGTGGCGGATCCAGGATTTGATCCCAGCGGTCTAACCACGATGACACACATTTTCAGTCAGTGATCATCCTTAGAAAACCGTGTGTGGTGCTTCCTTCTGGAGATTCTGTGCCAACTTGGCTTCCACATGCCACGCCTTCCGGGTCGCTCTTTACTGGCGAGTGTTTCCCAATGTTCTTCTCGCCTCTTCTCTCACCCTTCATCCATTCCTACACATTCAGCCTAACCTCTAAGGTGAGGCCTTTGAAATCCACCCTCAAACATGGATGGACCTAGCTCCGAGTAACAAACTCTCAAAAGCAAACCCAAACCTTCGGAGCCATAAAACGCAATCCAAGTCAACATCAGAAACAACTTCCTTCAAACCCACACTGTCCCTCTTGACCCTTTCTCTCCCCCGGTCGTTGTGGTTCTGAACTTGAGCAGTGCTGTTTATTCCACCTTGCATCCCCACAGCCACCTGGTGCCACGTCCTGCCCCTCCCCCCACATGGCCTGCATCCATTCCTTCCTTTTTATTCCAATTCAGTCCATCATAATCACTTCATTTTCTAGTTAGAATATCAAAATTAGTTCCCTGCCTCATTTTGCCAAATCCAACTGTAACATGACCAACCAAACAGATCTGCGTGCTATCTGGATTGATAATGTTGATAATAATGATAATACTGAAGGCCTCCAATAGTTCCCAATGATTACTGAATTCTTAACCTACCTTTCAAGACTGTCTATGATTACACTCAAATGATATCTGAACTCCTTATTTCATGCTTACTCCAGTTCAAAATTACTTGCTGTTTCTCAAACATGATCTGTATTTTCTGGCTTCTGTGTGTTTGGTCACACCATCCTTTACATCTATCAAAATCTTACCCAAACTCAAACGTCCATGTCAAAAGTCACCCATCTCAGCTCATCTTCCTGATTCTCCATAAACAGATATGGAGTCTCATCCTCCATCCTGAATCTTCCCAGTATTTTGACTGTGCTTTTCTTTTGCACTTATCACAATCTAACTTACAGCTATTTATACATCGGTCTTTTCTTCACCTTCTCCAGAAGACTGGAGACATCTTGGTTGCAGCACTGTGTTTCAGTCACCTCTGCATCCTCTCTTTCTCCCCCTCACCAAAGGCCAGCACACTGCCTTGGCTCAATCCATGTTTCTGAGTTAACTCAGTGAAGGGTGCTTATTAGTGAAGGGAAAGAAGAAACTTTTATCCTCATCCTAAGAACACAATGTGTTTCTATCCTACATACCTTCTTTCATCCTAGCAGCCCAGCCTCCCTCCCAGCTCCCCCACAGACTACACTCACCGTATGCACAGTGCTCTACGTTACTCAGAGATATGGGCAGGCGACATTTTTCCCCAATGCATCCAGTGCTATTGAAGAGAGGTATTATAGTTTCTATCATAGGCTCTGGGGGCTCTGAAACAGGTCCTCCACCCAATCAACTTGGACCAGTGCTGCGACAAGGTAAGCACTCCCAGCAGTGGCATCCCTCTGTTGGTGAAATAACAATACGCAAATAAAGAGAACTGCTTTAAAATGAACACCTTCCATAGTCAGGGGAAGAGGTTACAGAGGCCGGAAGAGGCAGAAACATAGGGACAACGGACAAATGCCAGCGTCATTCTTGGCTTTACACACAGGGCACAATCAGTAGTATGGAGTCCTGATAGTAAGACTTGCAGTTTGAGTGCCGAAGACTTCCTTTTTATTAAGGGAAATTTGCAATAGAAGCAAAAGTAGATAAAACAATATAATGAACTTTCATGTACTTCTCATTCAGTTTCAAAAATTATCAACTCAATTATATTAATTATACTTCCATTGCTATTATTTTTAATAATAGCTTTATTGAGATATAATTCACATACTGTAGAATTACCTATTTAAAGTATATAGTTCAATGGTTTTTAGTATATTCAGAGTTAGCAACTATCACTACACTCAATTTCATCACTCCAAAAAGAAACCCTGTACCCATTAAGTTACTCCCCATTTACTCCTCGTCGTAGGTAACCACAAATCTACTTTCTGTCTCTATGGATTTGCCTATCCTGGATATTTCATATAAATGGAATCATACAATATATGGTCTTTTGTGACTGGCTTCTTCCACTTAGCATAACGTTTTCAAGGTTCATTCATGTTGTAGAATCTATCAATGCATCATTCCTTTTCATTGCCACATAATATTCCATTGTATGGATGGACCACATTTATTTATCCATTCATCAGCTGATGGACATGTAAGTTGTTTCCACTTTTTGGCTGTTACGAATGATGCTGCTATAAATATTTGTGTACAAGTTTTTGTGTGGACATACATCTTTATTTTTCTTGGGTATACACTTAAAAGTAGAATTGGTGGGTCAAATGGCAACATTATGTTTAACTTTTTGAGGAAGTGTAGACTGTAAGTGGCTGTTTTCTAAAGTGGCTGTACCATTTTATATTTCCATCAGCAATAGATGTGGATTTCAATTTCTCCACATCCTCACCAATACTTGTTATTGTCCATTTTTTTTTTTTGTCTGTGAGGAAGATCAGCCCTGAGCTAACATCCATGCTAATCCTCCTCTTTTTGCTGAGGGAGACCGGCTCTGAGCTAACATCTATTGCCAATCCTCCTCCTTTTTTTCCCCAA